GCATTTAAAATATATTGATTCCTGTAATAATAATTATTTATTCATGTGATATTTATAAATCTGGGTGCGTTTTTGGTTGGAAATCAATGAAACATGGTACTGTATTACTGGTCTCCCCTGTTTATTGTCACAGCTCATACAATAAAGCAAACACCCATGATAAACCTTGCTTTTCTATCTAACGTTAGTAATTGCTGACTCTTTATTCCAACACTGAGCCGAAGCGAACTCTCTGCTCCTCGTCACGGTGCGTCTCAGGTGATGGTTATCACTCTGCCCAAGTAGCAGTGCTTCCCCTTCAGAAAATTAGTAATTTATACGGTCAAAAGATGTCTGTGTCTCATATGGCCTTGATATTTGCACACTCTGTGACTATACAAACCACAACATGTAAATAGGAAAACGTTTGCGTTATTTTGTCACTCATTTGGATTAGTATGAAAGCTGCAACCATTCACATCCAGTCTTTGTGCTAAGCTAGGCTAGCGGTGGGTGCGTCAAACAGACTTATAGCACGCACGGAGATGAAAAAGGTATGTATGGACTTATCTAACTCTGGGGGGTAAGGTGAATAGGCTAAAGTCCCAAAAAGTCGGAGTGTTCCTTTAAAAGACTTCCAATTGCTTGTGAGAAATATTCCCTCTTTTGTGCAGAATCCCTAGGGTCTCTAGAGTGCAGTTTGAACAGCTTTGCTTCAAGTGCGCACAGTAGATTATATGAATTGGGATGTAAGGTCACTGCTGTGCTCTGTTGGTTTCTGAGCCTCTGAGCTTTGTGACTCATGTATGTACCCTCCTGAAACAGGTTTCATCTTGAACGCTGCTACTGAGGCATGACACACCCGTGATACAGAAGCACTAGGATCTTGGAGGAGTGCGTCTTCAAAACGCGTCTTTACTGAGAGTTTAATCACGTTCTGTATGCACAGTTCATTAATCATGTCAGTGATATCCACATTAAACAACTAAATTACATCAGAGACAATCACATTTATGCAGTGCTGGGGGGATCCGGGACCCCCCATAAGGTATTAGGGTATTAAGGTATACAAGTAAAAAATAATAATAACAAATCTGATTAAATGCATGCAATGGATACGGTAAATTTTGTGAATTGAGTATTTACAATATTTTTTTTAAGTTGGCTAGTTGCCATGTCGCTTTAAAATGTAAACGTCCGCCCCACCTCTAAAGAGTGCTGTGCGCATGACATCGTTGACTGACAGGACTGTTTGATTGGCGCTGCTCCATTAAAGCTAATTTTTACGAAATGGAGAAAGATAAACCTCCACTCGAGGTCGGGAAGAGAAAGCTTCTTACCGACTTTTTTGAGGGGTAATTGTGTCTCTTTATATCTTTCTACTTTATATCTACCCACACCATCGGGGCTTCTGTACTCCTTGCGTAAATTGGAAACATTTAGGCTTAAGTTACTTTTTTCCCCATTATTAATAGCCCTGGTTCTACGGGAGTGCTATCTCGACAGTTTTTCCGCAAAGGGAGCGATCGTTGTGTGCTTTCTAATTTCCATTCAGAATTTGTATAAAACTTGTTTTTCATGTTGCCAGGATCGGCCACGTAAACACAAAGTTTTGGGAATTACATACGCATTCACTCTTTAAAATAGCAATAATTGACATCGATTGGCATGGCATTGTTTGTTTCTGAATAAAGCAGCCTTTTTCACTGAAATCATGGTCGTTGAATAGTTGCTGACCTACTGAGTGCCTTTCCGCCACCTACTGGACGTAACTATGTAAAAATCGCATGTGCTGAAATACTCGAAAAATTTAATCAAGTCTTTTGGAACAAACATTGTTACCACAGTGTCAAATAATTCACATTAATCGTCCAGTTGTTTTTAGGTTAAGAACAACATTTGTAAATAAATCATTCTGTTGGATGTACACAACTGTTCAAAAGTCTCTTCTGCTCACCAAGCCTGCATTGATTTGATACAAAATACAGTAAAAACAGTAATTTTATGAAATATTATTACAGTTTAAAATAATAATATAATAAAATATTGTTTATTTCTGTGATCAAAGCTGAAAACCATCGTTTCTCCAGTCTTCATCATGATCCTTTAGATCTGAAATATAAACTTTTGTAGCATTATACACTACCATTTAAAAGCTTGCGGTCAGTAAGAATGTATTTTTAAAAAATGTTGGGAAATAAATTAATACTTTTATTCAGTATGGTCGCATTAAATTGATCAAAAGTGACAGTAAAGAAATTTATAATGTAACAAAAGATTGTATTTCAAATAGAAACTGTTCTTTTGAACTTTCTATTGATAAAATATTCTGAAAAATAAAATAAATGTTTATTACATAAATGTTTGTTGATCATCATATTACTATTAGAATGAGTTCTGACGAATCATGCGACACTGAAGACTGGAGTAATGATGCTGAAAATTTGAGAAAATTCTGCTGCCCTCTAAATCCAGTATTACTTTAGTAAGTAATTTAAAAGAATAATTATATATATATTATAAAAAAAAAATTGGGGACCCCCCATAAGACTTGACTCAATTCGAGCACTGCATTTATGTAACATCTAAACAACTAGTCGAAAACACAGTGACATTGCCCCCTTTTTTACAATGCCAGCTCAAAAATGGATATCATTAGTTGATAAACAAAGGTATGTTTCTTCACCAAATTTTTTATTTATTTATTTATTTTTTTTAGTATGTTCTCTCTCACCAAAGTTTCTACCATGAGCCCCGTGGTCTTAGGGAAATCCCATACATTACTCTCTGGAAAGACAAGTGTTGCCAGATCTTGCTGGAAATACTGGGTCTGACATGCCCCAAAAAAGTCTGTTCAAAATAAGCCCAAAACATGACTGTATTCTGAAAACAACCCCCACAATAATTCATCATTTTTAAAAACAGGACCGAAGACTTGAGTTGACATGAGTCAACAGTTGTTTACTTAAAATTGCCAGTGTAAGACTGGAAAAACTGAAACGGTTTAAAGAGAAAATATCTGACCAATGGTCTCCGAAGACAAAATATGTTCTTCTTTGTTCTAGAACTTTGATGGTTTGCACTGATTATCTTTAAATTGATTATAGAATTGTAATAATATTCTAACAGACTTTGACTTTATTTTCATTACAGCTGAAATAGTCAAATATTAACGTGTATTTTTATTTGATAAACCTTTTTCATTTTATGGAGTCATATGAAACGAGGTAATACATAAGATAAAATGTATTTTAGCCGTAGAGGCTAAAGCTGCTCTTTTTCTTTCAAAAAGGGACTGTCCACGTTACTAAAAAAATAAATAAACTAAACTAAACTAAACTATTGCATTTAATTAAAAGTCCCTTTGCCATGGAAAAGACGGAACACGCATGAAACCTTCGCCTCTAATCGAACGCCGCCTTTGGATCGATTTAGTAGGTCTTACACTAGACAAAATACGTTGACTGGATAATATGCCAAAAATAGCAGACATCAAAATAATTCAACTGAAGGTTAAATTTTGCTAGAATTATCACTACATCAATAATCACAATTTTGTTGGTGACTCATGTTGATGATCTACTTTCCAATTGGTTGCCTCTCTCAAAAGTGCATTATTTATGAAGACTGAGTATTATTATTATAAAATTATCCCCATTGACTATTGTCATATCAAATGCATTTCATTATGTTTGCTATAGAGTGGCAACCTGCAATTGTAATCTTAAATGCTATTTCTATAGTTTAACACATAAAAAGTTGTGTTGGTGTAAATATATGTATTTAGGTTGATTCAGTGACTTTAAAAAAAATAATTTGTGTTATTAATGATTATGTTATGAAGAACCACACAGATGTTACACAATTAGAAGAAAATAATGTTAGCAGCAGAAAATATAGCATCACACTAGGGCTGGGCGATATATCGAATATGTACGATGTATCGTTATATTTTTTGAAACGATATGGAATGAGGCAATACCGTTTATATCGATACAGTAGTTTGATATGAGCACATCTGAAAAATAACGGAGGTTGCAGTGTGAGCTGCTGCAGTGAAAGTAGCTAGGCTACGTAGTACAATTTGTCCTAAACATGACACAAGCTTATATTAATTGCGTCAAAATCACTTTGATATTGTTAACAAGTTTAAGGCAGCTTGCCGCCCTGTCAAATGCTCTGACAGACACTGTTGCTGACTGACAGATATACTTGCGCTGTTTAATGCGTTTGAGATGTGGTGCTTATCAGTGCTCAACTTACATTTCACATATTCTCCATCTGTAAATGTTAGAAACTAAAGCAAATATGTCCATTTCACAACAAATATGTCCATGTCAGAAGAGGACGAGCTTCTGCAAGTGAATCTCCGCTAAAATTCATGCTTCCTTGAACGAGCGCCGGCGCGCGCATGCGCGTGAATAGTACTACGTAGTACGCAATAATTCTGACTAAAATAAACATATTGCTAAAATATGTGTTGTTGGAGAAAATAAATGTGCCATATGTGGAATTTAAACCTACAAGTATATATTTTTAATGAAAGTGAAAGTGATTATAATGGGGTAATCAAATGCAGGCTAATATAATTAGTTTGTGCTTTTGTTTTTGTTTTTATTTTCATTTTTAGTTTAGCTTTTAGTCAATATAAAAACAAAAGCTTTTTGCACATAATATATTGCATAGCCTATATTATATTTGTTTCCATATCCTTCAATATCAACATTGTTTGTAGGATATCATTGGGCCGAATGTGAATATACTGTATATATATATATATATATATATATATATATATATATATATATTTTTTTTTTTAATATAAAGATTTTCTTTATCTAAATAGAAAACGTAGAAAGTACCGAGATATATATCGTATATCGCCATTTGACCAAAAAATATCGAGATATGATTTTTTGGTCATATCGCCCAGCCCTACATCACACACAGAAGTGATAGGAAAAGTGTTCAAGTGTAAGAATACAATACTTTACATGCAAGTAGGCAAGAACATACAGTACCGCAATCTGATGAGCTTGTGTCTTCTGTGTTTCCAAAGAGAAACTGGTACTTGGCTTTGGCAACACTCTGTGCGTGTGCAGAGGAGCCGCCGACACGATCAAACGCTTCTCCCTGCAAGAACAAGACACAGTTAAACTCACATGCTTCAGTTTACACTGACATCATATTAACTAAACGGGATGACAAGGCTGGTTCAAATATAGGCTCATCACCAGTCGCAGGAGGACATGATGTCAGATCAGAACAGAGACTATGGCCCCTTTCACACACCCTGAGCAACGCAGCGGCAGGCATGACGCTAGTGTGCTTTGCTAGTTTCAGCCTGACGCAGTTATCATTTTCACGTCCTGCGCCACGTTGTTTAAATAGCAAAAGCATCTGCGCCCATCTGTGGCCCATGGGCTGCTGGTTTGAGGACCAGGTGTGTGTTCAGGTGCATTGGTGGAGCGTTGCTGTTCTGAGGAACTGAAATAGACTGAAACTGACCAACTGAAACCTGGGGCTAAAATCAATGGCGCAGTATTCTTTTTTTTTAACAGCGGGTTAGTGATGTGCGCTTATAAGCAGGTACACAACATGCTACACTTCGTCCCGTAGATCAGGGAATCCCAAAGATCTGCCACCAAGGGGAGCGCGAGAGGAAAAATGTAATGGCGGTCTGTTTTTTAAGTGGGATTTTTCTATACAATAAAAAAACATGAACAGTAAACATCTCCTTAGTAATTGCTTTTATTTAAAATTTAAAAAAAAAACTATAATTTATTCGTTTTTGATAGAAACGTAGAAGACTGCCTTGCACTGCAGCCGCTAGGCTATATGTCACGTGATCAACTTCTAAATTCAAATGTGCTTTTCTGGCGCTGAGCCAATGCTGTCATGCATCATAACTATTGAGTGTTTTCAAGCACATAAAGTTTATTTTAGGTTTCAGACATTTAAATACACATATATACTAGCAAAACAATGATTTTGATTTTGCTGATTTCTATTTCTATAGCTTAATACATTTGTGAATATTTTTGAAAAATGACATAAAAGCAGATCATCATTCATTCAGCGCTGTGTTGTGGTTGCGCTGTGTCACGTGACAAGCAATGACGCGTCACCATGGAAACATTAAAGTGACAAGTTCTAAATAACTGAAACTGCCTTGAATAACTGCCTCGAAAAACTCACGCTGGGGGGGGGGGGGGGGGGGTCAGTAACAATATTCAAACTTACGTGTGAAAGGGTTACAAGTGGAAGCTTTGTTGCATTATACTGAAACTTTGTTGATGTTGTTATTGTCATGCGTGTTCTGGTTATTTGCACATGATTAAAAAAAAGAGTCTTTATATGGCAATAAAACAAAGCTTTGCTGCATTTTGTGGGGGTTGGGAGTGCACCAACCCGGTTGGGACATAAGGGGGAGCGCAGGAAAAAGGTTTGGGAACCGCTGCGGTAGATGATCAGCTTGCGAGCTTTAACCTCTCTCTCAGTCTCGCACACACAGCTTTAACCTCGCACGTGAGCAGATCTGTTTCCTCACTAAAGAAGGGTTCAGTTTTTCTGCTTTCAAACTCCGCCGTGTAAATAGTGAATCTGCCATTGGCGCGAGCACAACTGGCTTTTAAAGGGAATGGGAGATGAGACTCTTGATTGGTTTATTGCACATTACACCTAAAACACACCCATTACTCATTAAGAGAATAGGAACCCTTTTAGACCATGCGCTGGGAGCGATGACCATTTTCTCGTCATTAAACTAGCTTTAGATGAGCTTAGATCCTTAAAAAAGGGCCCTTTCAGTTACCAAAAAATGTGCATATGACCAAAGAGAGGAATTCTTCCAAATTCAGTGCTGTTCAACTGTTACACTGAAAGAAAGAAACACAAGTTCAAACAAGTTTTACATGATGGACGCAGTCAAAAAAAAAATATGACTTGTGCGCTATATTCATCTTCTCATGTCAAGTCACCTTTACTTCTAGCACTTTTTTCAATACAGGTTGTTTCAAAGCAGCTTTACAGGTATACCGGGAAAATAATGCAACAAAGTTTATGTCTAGAAGAAAATAGCGTCACAGTCCAGCTTAAGTAAGTTCAGTGATGGTTCATTTTTGTTGTAAAAAAGTTATTCATTTAGTTAATTATATATACATATTATATACACACACACACATATACAGTATATATATATATATATATATATATAAAGAGTTCAGATGCAAAAGCCTCTAAATGCCATTTGAAATTTTCTTCTTTAATGATGATTTTTATCAAACTTGTATATTTAAGTTCAGTAATTTCACTTAAATAACAATTAATAGGTAATTATCATTGCAATTTAAGTGAAATCACTGAACTTAAATATACAAGCTTGATAAAAATTATCATTCTAGAAGAAAATTTCAAATGGCACTTAGAGGCTTTTGCATCTGAACTCTTCATATATATATATATATATATATATATATATAATAATTGAGCTGGACGATGACATCACGGAGTAGATAGCCAATCCGTTATGTCATCGTCCAGCTCAGTTGAGCTCTCATATAATGGTGTGAATGCTGGCAGATCAATAATAATGCTGAATATTAAATGTTATTATGAAGTTATTTTTCATTGAAAGTCTCTTCTCTCCTCCACTGCTCTCTCATCCATTTTGTAGTATATATTCAAATATGGTGAGTCAAAGCGTGCCGCGGCACGTTTCGCAACAATGATGCTAAATGGAAACACACCAAGTTTAGAAATGCAAATAAGGATTTCTGTGAACAGTTTTATTTTGGTGTGCACCTCACACAGAGAACATATGACTTCAGAGGACTAGACCAGATGAACAGCGTGAACACAGTGCTAAACATCATGTGATGTCCACCGGAGAAAGTCAGTCACACAGAATTGGGCCAATGGTGAGTAAATGAACATTTTAATTTTAAGATATTCTGCTGGTTTAACTCCAGCATGAGTATAAGTCTGTGAGTGTGAATATAGCGCTCCCGCAGGAGGCCAGTCACTATGGCTCGATCCCAGCGGCCCAAGAATGTTTCTGTTTCCAGAAGAGGGCTGATTTTTTAATACCAGTGTCTTTTGTATCTGGCGAGTAATGGACCACACTCCAGCCACATGATAGAGCATGAGAAATTACTGGAACTGAACTCGAAAAACACTGTCCACTTTCAATTTCACAAGAGAAGTCAGCATTAGTGAAAATCTGACTGCAGAGTTTAGGTTTGCCTGTTTTCCCTTGTTTGTTAAGATCAGAGTTCATAATCATACATCTTTATCAGACATGTCTATGAAACAAGCTCAAAGTCTAACGTTTAACACGTTTTAGTCGAATCTGAGTGAAAAACTGACATTAACACCAGCTTCCCGTCAGTAATCTAGTGTGAACCCAGTTATTGACTAGATCTCCACTGAAGACATGAGTCTGTTTAAAGGTCACCAGTGACTGGAGATAGAAACACTAAGAGATACCTCTGTTCAGTAAGTAATGTTATCTACTTGTGGCCATGGAAAAAAAATTGTGAAATGAATGAAAACAGTCTTGAGCGTAATGAATGCAATGCTCTCGCAGCAGTTATGAAGAAAACTCATTGAGCTTTCATTATCCTGTTACGGCTGCAGCTCAAAGCCCATGAGATGATGCTAGGACAGCACTAGTAGACATAGACACAGGAGTGGAATGAATGCTGTCAGCTTTGACTTGCCCAGAATGTCCTCGGGTGAAATCCATTCCACTGCAAACACAGCATGCAGAAAAACAAGCAAAATGATGCCCTCATGTCACGATTCAATACCACAATACTCAACTCACGATGCGATATTATTGCGATACTCCAAGACATGATAAAAGGTTAACAATAAATGCATTGTTGATTAAAATGCTAAATTTGGTGTTACATTGTGTGTAAATTAATAGGATGGACTTGGTGCTGAAAACCAAAGCACAGGACAATAGAGACGATCCTGGAGCGGAAAATACTAAATTATTTCAGGCGAACATGCCTGTTCTCTGTCATTGACTAGATATATTTATAATAATGTAGGACACTTTTTAGTGGTAACATCAGACATGGCATTATCAGGACACAAATATTCCTATCAGGTTGTAAAATATCATGTGGTCCAACTCCAGTATTAATTTTTAACACTATACAATTTTTTTTTCAATAGGTTATTACGTATTACATGATGATTACACCACATGCCATTTTTAGATATTTTAAATTTAAAATGAAAAGTTTTTCAAAATAATAAGAACATTCCTATTTGGTTAACAAATGATTAACAAAATATTTTTCTGACAATTCCTTCTATGAATTAGTGGCCTTTTTCAGTCAGTCACTTCAGATGAAGCAACGACTGTTTTATGTCACACACGGCTCATGGTATCACTGACTGATTGTTCAAATGACGATGTGAAGGAAAAGCCACATGTATAAAACAGAACACTTCATTCACACAGACAACAGTTTCACAAAGGTCTTTGCACTTCTTCAAAAGAAGAACAATGTGACATTGAGGAGCTTGAGCTTGATAAAGTGGAAGATTGTAAATGGTGGCATGTATTACGAAACTTCAGTAAATGTATCCACGGCTTTTCTCATGCTGTCAAACAAACTTGATACTGACAAATTGCCTTCAGAAATCAAAATCTGCAAAAATGGAACAACAGTTTCAAAAAGTGATTTTCACTATTATTTACACCAAGACCTGCATTTTAATGGGTTTAAATAAAATTGTTATTAAAAGAGACAACTTTGTTCATGAAAACCACTCCTTTCCTGGTAAAAAAGGAAACTTGATTTTCAAGTCAATGAAATTGCGACAGCTGAATGTTACATTTTTGACAAGCAAAACATGTCAGTCTCTGAGCAAAATGTAGGTCATTTATTTAAGCCACGAAATAAACATCATTCCATAAAATAAGTATAATGAACTACACAAAAAAGCATTTCGAACTTCTCCAGCATGTTTTATAATTAGCCAAATATCAAACATAGTTCACCTCTTACGCCTATTATCACGCCCATCAAAAGTTTATGCTTGGCTGACAGCCAGAATATTACAACTAAAAACAGGCGTCACTCACTCATGGCCATCATTCGCTTCACTGAAAA